GCCGCCGCCGCCGGGAACCCGCTCACATTAGTAGTACAACCGCGCTGCCCGTCCCGCCGCCGGCAGCGATCAACCGCCGGTGATCGCCCACGCCTTGTCGAGGCCAGGAAGGCGGTCAGGTAAACCCATTCCGAGGCGGCGACCATGCGGCAGGTGGTTGCCTCGGGCCGAGCCGGAGAGAAAGTCCTGCGCCTCGGCCTTTCCGGTGAGACGCCAAGCTGCTCGGCGCGGAGAGGCCAGCAGGCTCGGCGTGCGTCGCGCGGTTGGGTGTGGCCGGGATGGATGCAGTTACGTGATGCCGAACTGACCCAGCTGCGCGGGGCCAGGGTCTTGGTCATGTGCACCAGCCGACGGTATTGCGCGCGCGCCGCTGAGGTGGCCCGGCGTTGCGTGCGTTGAGGCCGCTGATGTTGATGATGCGGCCAAAAGCCCTGTGCTTTGAGCATCGGAATGGCGCCCGGGAGCACGCAGCGCGCCCACGAACTTCACGTCGAAGTCGCTGAGGAAGTTCCTCGTCGATCAGCGTCACAATGGGGCCGGTCGCCGACGGTGAGCCGCCCGGAAGGGACGCGCTGTTGACCAGAATGTGCAGCCACTCCACGCGTATCGGCGGCATCGTGATAACGCTGAGTCAAACAGTACTCGGTTGGTGGCATCAAACGACATGGGAGGCGCGAACGGCCGGTGGTTTCGACGATCTCGGCGGAGGTCTGTTCCAGGTCGGGCATGGAACACTAACTGCGAGCCGACCCCCACGTCGCGCGCCCTCGCGCGCAATCCAGGGCAATCGCCGTGACGATACCGCGGCTCGCCACACCCACAGAATGGCCAGTTGCCAGTCAAGTCCAAAATCCATAGGGAATAGCCTCAGTGGATACGAACGCACGGCAGAGTGCGCGTCGCGGTGAGGATGATGGGCATTTATACATCGCAACAAAAACAGCACAGGCCGAAGGCTGCGAACCTAGCCCAGCTAAACGGCCCCGTTCCGCGACACTGCGTTGATCGTGAGTGAAAACGATCGCCGACAACGTAACCACAAACATCTGGCTAGACAGGACGGAGATCATCGGAGTGGTGCTGGTCTCACTTCGTCAGATATACTCGGGGCAGGATACGCGGGTTGGAAGAGAAGCGACTTGCACCCTTCACATTACCTGGAACCCGCAGTGCGGGCGGAGGGAGAGCGGCCAACCGCGACAGCACGGCGTTGTTTTCTTTGAGTACTTCTGTCTGTGTTGGCGGGATACGTAGTGGTTCGTGTTGCGTACGTTGTTGTTTGGTTACGTTGGGCGTTGCGTCGCGTTGCGGAAACAGCCCTGGCGGAGATTACGATCGCGGCGGGCAGCAGGGGAGCCGCGCACTATCGTTACCGCGCACAGCTGGTGTCTGCGGGTGGTAACAAGTCGACACCAGCCTGGCGATCCTCTGGGCGGTCATCCGCCAGAACCATGCGGACGGCCGCGCGACGCCGTACTATCTGTCAAACGCTTCCGAGAACACCCGAGTTGTGAATCCTCGCACGTGGGTGGTTCGGGTGACGCATCGAAACGACAGTCCGAGGCGGGAACAGCGTCGGCGGTCTGGGCGAGTACGCAATGCCGTGCTCGGGCGGGAGGCATCATTGCCGGGCTGGCATCATGGCGCAGGATGGCATGATCACATTTCAATGTACATGCATGGCGGGGCTTCGTGGTGGACCCGGCAGCAGATGGGAAGCCGCTTTGCCCATGATCACGCGACCCCGGGTTGTGTCTACGAGCATGCTCGTTAGGCGCTACCACGGGAGCGTTCGGACCGGAGTGAGTGCTGTCTGGCTGGAAGAGCATCCAACTGCGCAACGCACGGGCAGTGATGCTGCCATGAGAAACGCAGCGCGCGATGCGTCGCACCTACCGGCATCCCACATAACAACCTGTCGTGTTCATATTAGGGATTGAACTGAAATAGTTTGCGGTAGAAGCGAGTTGCCATTTATAATTACCGCCGATGAGCTGACACGTTGAAGCTGATTGGATACTAGGTTGAGATGCTTGCTGACCGATCGACATGGCAACACGGCCGTTGACCGTTGGGTGTCCGCAAGGGAGTGACACGGAGAGCGAGAAGGACGCGACCATCCGGCGGAGAGCGGGCTGGTGACCACGCTGCGAGTGCGACGGATTCGCGGCGGGCTGGCGGACGAATACGGGATACTGCTGAAGAACCTGCTGGAGTTCCGCACCAGGGGATCGCGACGACGGACATCACGGACAGCGTGTATATGCTACGGTGGTGCCGCGCTGACGGGATGTTCGCAAGGACCTGTGCCGCCACGGTTCTTCGGGGTGACCCGCTGCTGGTGACGTCGCAGATCGACCTGGGGATGCCCGTCCGTTATGACAACCCACGAGATGTGGGGGCGGATCGGATCGTGGACGCGCGGTGCGGCGGTGGAGCTTTACGCGGCGGCCATGATCGTGGTGGACTTTGGCACGGCGACGGTGTTCGACGCGGTGTCCGGACCGGAGTACCTGGGCGGGGCCATCGCGCCGGGGATCAACCTGTCGGCGGACGCGCTGTACTACAACACGTCGCAGTTGCGGCGGGTGGAGCTGGTGGCGCGGCGGAGGCCGGGGCGGAACACGACGACGTCGTTGCAGTCGGGGATCGTGCTGGGGACGCGGGGCTGGTGGAGGCAATGGTCGGGCGGTTCAAGGCGGAGATCGGCGAGGACGCCAGGGTAGTGGGCACCGGCGGGCTGGTGACGGTGATCTCGGATCATGTGCCCCGTGTTCGACGACATCAACCAGGAACTGACGCTGGTCGGGCTGGACATCATCTACCGGAAGAACGCGGCGGCTCCCCAGCTCCGGCGCATCGGCCGGCATGAGCCGGGCGGCTGACATGGATTCCGCGTGGCCGGCAAGAACATCGTGCTGGGAGTGAGCGGGAGCATCGCCTGTTACAAGGCGCTGGACCTTGCCAGCAACTCGTACAGGCTGGGGCCCACGTCGAAACGATCCTCAGCTACGGCGCGACACAGTTCGTGACAACCGCTGGCGTTCCCCGCAGCCTGACGCACCGGTCGGTGTGACGGACACCTCGACGCGGACTCGAGCACAGTGTGGAGCACGTCGCGCTGGCGCGGTGGGCGGATATCGTCGTCATCGCTCCGGCGACGTGCACTGCATCGCGAAGCTGGCCGGGGGCCTGGCGGACGATCCGCTGACGACGACGGTGATCGCGCCGAGGCGCCCCTGCTGGTCGCGCCGGCCATGGACGCCAACATGTTCAGACCATCCGGCGACGCAAGAGAACATCACGCGGCTGCGCAGCCGGGGCGTGTTCTCCTGGCCGGGCCGGCGCCGGTCGGTTGGCGTCCGGACTGATGGAATAGGAAGGCTGGTGGAGCCCGGCGGATCTCCTGGGGTACATCGCGGCGGCGCTGGGAAGGACGGAGACTTCGCCGGACGGAAGGTGGTGGTAAGCGCCGGTGGACCCAGAAGCGATCGACCCGGTGCGGGATCACGAATCACTCCTCTGGGGAACGGATGGGATACGCCGTGCGAGGCGGCGCGGGACCGTGGTGCGAGGGGGTGCTGGTGACGGCGCGACGGCGTTGCCGGATGCCGCCGCTGGTGCGGACGATCCGGTGAAGTCGCGGCAGGACATGTGCGACGCGGTGCTGCGCGACGCCGATGTCGACGTCGCTGATCATGCTGGGGACGGCGAGGCGGTGGCGGACTACCGCCGTCGGTGATGCAGAACAGAAGATAACGACGACGGCCGCGGACGAGATGTCCATCGACCTGGAGAAGACGACGGAGTATATTGGCGACGGCCAGAGGGAATTTTGTGGTCGGTGGTTCTCAGCGGAAAGCGAGAACCTGGAGGCGAATGCCGAGCGGACAAAGTGCGGCGCAACGAGGTGGACCGATAGTGGCCAACGATATTACCGAAGAAGAGGCAGCGGGTTGGCGCGTGGGAAGCGGTGGACACGACCGGGTGGTTGCTGTGATTGACGCGACGGAGGAAGTTGAAAAATGAAAGACTGCATTGCTCACGAACAAGTACGAAGTGGGCCACAGATAAGATCATGCGGACGGGTATCGCGCTGCTGACAGTGAAGTCGTGAAAGTTCGACGACAGTCTGGACAATCTCCCGCGGCGACATCTCGGCAGGCCTGACTGTACGTTAGTCGGCCTGCCGGTGCGCTGGCATTCAGGTCCGCGCTGGCGTACCGGCCTGGGCCCGACCGCGGCATGGTACTGGCGCGATAGCCGTCGGGTGTCTTCGCGTCGGTATTCGGGAGGGAACGAGTACGCAGATTATCGGTTTTGTCCGACGGGGCCCATGGCAATCGCGATGGCGGTGATCGTAACCAGCCACGCGAACACCCTGGCGGAAGCGTTCACCATCGTGATGCTGGCCGGCTTTTTGCAGGCGGCGCTGGGCCTCGGCCCGAATCGGACGGTCGTGGCGTACACGCCGTACTCGGTGGATTCGGGGTCATGACGGGGATCGGCGTGATCATACATGATCGTGCAGATCGCGCCGTTCCTGGGGTCGCCGGTGGCCGTGGGCGGCGTGATCGGCGCGGTCAATTCGCTGGAGAAAACAGCTGGTGACCAACGTCAACTTCCACGCGCTGGCGGTGGCGGCCGTGACGCTGGTGGTGGGAATCCTGTGGCCGCGGCCATCCGGAAGATCTGCCGGCTCCGCTGGCGGCGATGATCGTGGGCTGTGCGCTGGGGATCTGTGGCTGAACGACTGCCGATCATCGGGGAGGTGCCGACCGGGTTGCCGGACCTGCAGTTCCCGGCGTTCTCGGTGGGGTTCATCTGACGCGCTGCAGCCGGCGCTGGTACTGGCCCTGCTGGGATCCATCGACAGCCTGCTGACGTCGCTGATCGCGGACTCGCTGACGCGAACGCGGCACAACCCCCAACGGGAGCTGATCGGGCAGGGCATCGGCAACATGATTGCGGGCTGGTCGGCGGACTGCCGGGAGCGGGAGCGGACCCTGGGAACCGTGGGTGAACATCCGGTCCGGCGGCAACACGCAAACTGTCTGGGCGCGATCGCGCGGGGGTGCTGCTGGCGCTGGTGCTGGGTCTGGGCCGGTACGTGGAGGCGATACCCCACGCAGTGCTGGCCGGAAATCCGATGAAGGTGGGCTGGGACATCATCGACTGGCGGTTCGTGAAGCGGGTACACCAACTGCCGCGGGAGCACCTGATGGTGATGGTGATAACCTTGACGCTGACCGTGTTCCTGGACCTGGGTGACGGCGATCGCCATCGGTATTGATCGCGGCGGGGGATGGCAAGCGCGCGGCTGCTGGAGAGGCAGAGACTGGACAGCGTCGTCTCCGTGCCGCTGCTGGATCAGAGCTTCCTTTCGCTAGACCCGGACGCCGAGGGACGCGGACGAGTCTCTGCCCGGGTGGGCCTGGTGGCGCTGCGGGGGCGATTCTCCGTGGCGTCGTCGAGCAACCTGGTGAGCACCATCGGGCAAGACAGTCAAGAGCACGAGGTGGGTGTGATATTTCGACTTCACCGAGACCGCGTACATGGACGACCAGCGCGGCCATGGTGGTGGAGCAGATGATTGACGTGGCGCTGGACGAGGACACGGAACCGATTGTGATGGGGCTTTCGGCCCCGTGGAGCGGAACCTGCGGGCGCTGAACATACTGCACCGCGTTCGGCGGACCGCTTCGTGAGCACGCGGGACGAGGCGCGGGAAGTCGCGGAGAGGATACTGACCGCGTAACAACGCAAACAGGGTTGGATCGCCTCGCCAACCGGCACATGGAGGACGACAAGCGTATCGGAGGTGTGTTGGAGCGTCGACGGCCGATCTGATGAGCCTTGACGAAACTGTCGGGCGGATCAAGCAGGGGAGCGGAAGAGGACGGGTTCGACAGCTTCTGGGTGCCGCACATTTCGGCGCGAGGTTACGACGCGTCTGACGGTGCTGGCGCTGGCGGGAGAGGAGTGCAGACCAGCCGGATCGAACTCGGGGGTCGGCGTGGTGCCGACCTATCCCCGGCATCCGGTTGCAATGGCGCAACACGCGCTGACCACGGCGGCGGCGAGCAACGGGCGGTCCTGCTGGGGACTCGGGCCATCGCACCGCAGGGCATGAGGGAGCTTTGGGCTGTCGTACGACCGGCCGGCGCTGCACGTGCGGGAGTACCTGTCGGTTGCTGCGTCCGCTGATGGAGGAAGGTCCGGGTGCAATCTCCGGCGAGTTCTACAACGTGAACGCGGAACTGGACGTGCTGGACCGGCCAAAGTGTCCGGTGCTGGATTCGGCGTTGGCGCCGCGCATGATGCGGCTGGCCAGGCGAACGGGCTGACGGGACCATCACCTGGATGGCGGGGCCACGCACGATCCGCGAACACATCACGCCGCGTATCGCGGCAGTCGGCGGAGGCCAGCGGACGGGACATGCCCCGCGTGGCGTGGGCCTGCCGACGACGGGTGTGCGAGACGAGAGCCACCGGCGACGCCAGGCTGCGGAGGCCTACGAACGATACGGGACGCTGGTGGAACTTACCGCCGGGGTGCTGGACATCGAGGGCGTGGAAGGTCCGCGGAGGTGCGGTTGATCGGCACACGAGGAGTCGCTGCGCCGAGCGCGTCAGCTGACCGGAGTTCGCCGCCGGCGGGGCCACCGACTTCATGGCCCACATCTCGCCCGGCGAGGGCGACGGCGAGACGGGGCCGCGGACATACGGCGCTGAAGGAGTTGGTGGGGAAGGTGTGAGTACCAGCCAACCCTTATACGAGGCCGGCGTCGTGTTGCGAGCGTAAACGACATCGCGGGGTCACCGTGGACCGGCGGGCCGCCGGGGTTGACCTCGAGATCAGCCGTGTCAGCTCCTCTTCCGAGTAGACGGCTGGCCCCACTTGACCTGATGGTGTGGCGGTCGTAGGCGTTCAGGCGTTGGAATCATATCGCTCACCACTGCCCGATGGAACACCTGCGATCTCGCCGGCTGACGCCCTTGGCAGCTCCCGTTACGACGAATGAACCGAACCGGGATGCCATGGACGAGGAGTTTGTGAAACTGGGCGGTTACCTGCGCGCTTGCGATCGAATTCTTGAACAGCGACGCTTATCCCGTTTCCGACAATCCGGTCAGATCCGTCATCACACCGAAATCGATGCCGGCGATCTCCTGGCGCAGGAAAGCCGAGTGCCGCACCAGGTCTGCTGCCCAGATCAGAGTAAGTTGGATTCTTGTCGGTCCATAATTCGATCCTCAGTGTGGATCCGGGATGGGGTTCACCGGATCCTGCAACGACAACCAAATGCGCTAACTATATGCGGAATATATCCCTATTGGCTACAATGTATGCGCTTCGCAACGAATCGTGGCAGACATACCCAGCATACGCCCAATCAGAGGTCATCGGTTTTTCTCGCAATCGCAGTTTCCCATTGCAGAGCGGCACGTCCTCACCATGGCTCATCTTGTTCTTTCGAGGGTGTCCCGGCGTCACTGGCGACCAATGGACCGGCAGCGCCGGGCGGGCAAGGCGAACACCGGGGCGAATGATCATTCGCCCCTACGCATTCTTTGCGACCGCAGGTCGCCCGGCTAGCTGACCGCTTCCTTGAAACGGCGTATGGCTTCGATGTGCTGGTCGGGGCCCTTGAGGCCGGCGCGCATGGTGTTGACTGAAGAAGTGGGTGGCGCCGGCGTCGCTCCAGTCGGCGGGCCAGCTTGTTCAGTCGCGGGTTGTGATGTCGGCAGGGAGGGCGCGGGCCCTCGACGCCGATGGCGGGAAGGATTCCGCCCGTAGCCCCGGGCCCAGCTCGCGATCTCCTCCAGGCGTGTCGCGGCCCGCGCCGTCGGGCTGGAACTGCGGGAACCAGCCGTCTCCCATGCGGGCAATGCGGCGCACGACCTGGGGCGCACCGCCGCCGAACCAGACGGGTATGGGTCGCTGGACTGGCAAGGGGTTGATGCCGGCGTGGGTGATCTGTGTGGGTAACGGCCCATCGTAGTTCACGACCTCCTGGGTCCAGAGCATACGCATGACCTCGACTGTCGGCGGAGCGGCGGCCGCGCGGTTCTCCAGTTTTCGCCCAACGAATCGAACTCAACCTCGTTCCAGCCCACGCCGATGCCCAGGCGCAGTCGGCCGTTGGTGAGGACGTCTACCCGCAGTCCTGCTTGGCGACCAGGGCGGTCTGCGCTGGGGCAGGATGATGATTGCCGGTTGCAGAACTCGATCTTCTCGGTGAGGGCGGCGAGGTAGCGAACATCACCGAAGGTTCGTGGAACATATCGTCCTTGTTGTTTAGGACGGTTCCACTCCAGCGCGTGGGTGTGGTCGCCCCGGCCGAGAAGTGGTCGAAGACCAAAAGATGATTTCGTAAAAAAGGGACTCGGCCGGCCTGGGCGAAGTCCTTGACGCGAGGGGGTCGGCGCCCCCCGATTTCAGTCTGGGGAAGATGCTCCAGTGCATGTTTGGCTCCCTTGGCAAGGTTGAGCGCCGTAAAGCAAACAAAGACCATTTATCGGCCTGGTTTGCGTTACGATATTGCCGCGAATAAAAACCGAAACGAGGGCGGTCCCTGCTCGGAACCTGCCCTCGTTGTTGCCTCGTAGGAGATTGCGGTGCTTTCCTGCAATGACAGCCTGGTCGTGATCCTTACATTTGGCGCTGCTTGGGATCGAGGCGATCGCGGAGCCAATCGCCCGGAGGTTCATGCTGAGCACGACAGCATGATGGCGAGGCCGGGGAACATGGCCACCCACCAGCCGTTGGGCGAGGTAATCAGCACGCGGCCGTCGGCGACCATCAAACCCCAGGCCGGCTGCGGGGGCGGAATGCCAGCGCCGAGGAAGCTGAGGGTGCTTTCCAAAATGATAACGAAGCCCACGTTGAGGGTAGCCAACACGATGACACTGTTGAACACGTTGGGAAAGACGTGCCGGAACATGATCCGTCGATGGGACGAGCCCGACACCTGCGCCCGTGCGATGAAGTCCTGCACCCGAACGGCCAGCGTCTCACCGCGCACGAGGCGAGCGTACCGGGACCACATCAACAGGACTAGCACCGTGATCACCGTGCTCATGCTGGCGCCGATGGCGGCGACCAGGACTAGGGCCAGCAAAATGATGGGGATTGATAAGGAGATGTCGACGAGTCGCATCACCACGGCGTCGACCATTCCACCCCTGTAGCCGGCGATGATCCCCATGCTGCTGCCCAGGATCCCCGCGATGAAAATGGCGATGACCGCGGTCACCACGGACACCCGTGCTCCGTACATGATACGGGTAAGGATGTCGCGCCCCACCCGGTCGGTGCCGAGCAAATGCTCGGTGGTGCCGCCTTCCATCCACACCGGCGGGAGCAATTTGGAGCTCAGGCTACCCAGCTTCGGATCGTGAGGAGCGATAAAGTCCGCAAACGCTGCCGGTATCACGAGGACGATGAGGAGCAACAGGATGGGAAGAACAGGGTAGCGCCGAACCTCGGAAACGATGCGGCCTACGCTAACCCCGCCGTCCGGTGCTGGCAGAGCCTCAGTTTCTTCGGCGATGGCAGGGACGCGTATGCGGTCTTCTGCAGCCATGGCAATCGCTCCTTGGATAGTGGGCTGATCGCGCTCGATTACGAGTAACGGATGCGCGGGTCGACGTAGGCGTAGGCGATGTCAACCAGGAGGTTGGCGACGATGTAGACTAGACAGAACGTGATTACCACGGCCTGGACTACGGGGAAGTCCCGCGCCGCCGTCGAGTCCACAGCCAGCCTGCCGACGCCGGGCCAGGCGAAGACGAACTCAATGGAAACCGACCCCACCAAGAGGGAGCCAATGATGAGGGCAAAATATGTGAATGGCGCAATGGCTGCGTTGCGCAAGCAGTGTTTCCAGATGACCTTCCATTCCGGAACTCCCTTGATGCGGGCCAGCTTGACGTACTCCGTATCGAGCACGTCGAGCATTGACGACCGCACTAGGCGCATCAACGCGGCCACCTGGAACCATCCGATGGCAATGGCCGGCAGTATGAACGACAACACGCCGTGTTCCTTGCCGGACACCGGGAACCAGCCAAGTTGGACGGCAAAAATCCACATCATCATCAGGCCCAGCCAGAAGGCCGGCAGCGATTGCCCGAAGAGGGCGATGGTCTTGCCGATGTAGTCAAGCGGGGTGTCCTTCTTGACCGCCGATAAAACACCAATTGGGATCGCCACCGCGACCGCCACGATGACGGCGACGCCGGCCAAAGCGGCGGTGTTGGGCAAGCGCTCCAGAACCAGGCTGATGGCGGTCCGGCCGCGGATACGCAGGGACTCGCCAAAATCTCCCCTGAGGGCATTGCCCAGGAAGGTGAAATATTGGACGTGGATCGGTCGGTCCAGACCCCAGGCCGCGCGAACGCGGGCGGCGTCTGCAGGAGTGGCTTCCAGCGGCAAGAGAACGTCGAGGGGATCACCCGATACCCGGGCCAGGGTGAAAACGACGACGGTCAGCACCAATAACGCCAGGATGGATTGGCCGACTCTGAATAAGATGTAGCGCTGCATGGCAATCACCCATTGTTGCGAATCGGCAGTTAAATGGTGTTTTCCAGTGGTGTCTGTTCGAAATTTGCCCGATGGTACGGTTATTCAGGCCCACAGTCAACGACATCCAGCGGATATCGTGGAATAGGAAGCGGCGTGCAATCCCGTGGCGTGTTGCCCCACGCTCGTGGGATTGCACGTCGAATGGGCAAAAGCCGGACCCTACCGGGCCGGGGTGATGTACTCGGTGTGGGTGAAGCTGGTGTTGATGTTGCCTGGCCAGACGTATTCGCCAACCTCCTGGGGATCAATCATCAACTGGGCCGGCAACCACACGATTGGGGCCTCGGAATAGAGGTCATACTTGAGGTCGCCCAGTTCGCGAAGGGCGTCGGCTTTTACCACGGGGTCCATGGACCGAGTGGCAACCTCATAAAGGGTGTCAGTCCTGGGGTCGACGGATGTGCGCCAGAATCCGGTTGGGCCGCTGCGATTGTAGCTGCGGACGGTGATTTCAGCCGGTCGATACGTTCCCCGGGAGGCCGCGATGGTGCCGTGGGTCCGGCCGGGTCGATAGTAATCAGCACGGTAGGTCGACCATTCGACGGCTTCCGACGTCACGTCGATACCCACGTTGGTCAGGTACGTGTAAGTCGCCTCGCCCATGGGGATCATTTCAGGAACGCCGGGCAACTCGGTCAGCAGGAGCTTGACCTTGTAGCCCTCATGGCCTGATTCCTTGAGCAGCTGGCGGGCGCGTTCCGGGTCGAACCCGTATTTGTCGTCGAACTGTTCCAGCCACCGGGGGTTCCCAGCCGGGCAGGGCAGGGTGATAACCCCACACAACGTGCGGCTGACCGATGCCGTCGAACAACTGCTCGTTGATTTCCTGCCGGTTGATGGCCCGGTTGATGGCCTCACGAACTCTGACGTCCAAGTGCGGTTCGTCGGGCTGGTAGAAGCAGCGCTCTCCTCCGTCCAGGCACTCGCTGCCTGCCTCCGGGTTGTAGACACCGCCAATGATGAATGTGACTTGCAGGGACGGCAGCTGGCTCTGGACGACCTGCAGACCTGATCCGACGGCGTCGATGTGGAGTTCACGGCTGATTTCGCCAATCTGCACCTGGCCAGTTTTCAGCTGAGCCAGGCGTGTGTTCTCTTCGGGAATCAGGACAAACTCCAGCTCTTCAAAGAACGGCGAGCGCCGGTAGTGGTCTGGGACCCGAGAATACAGCAGGTTCACGTCCAGGGTCCGATCTTCGAACTGCCAGGGCCCAACTCCGGCCGGCCTGCTTTCGTAGCCTTCGAGACCTTCGGCCTCGAATTGAGCTTTCGAGTACATGAACAGGTTCCCCTGCTGGGCAGAGATGAAGAAGTCCACAATGGAGTTAGGGACTTGCACGTTGTATTGAACGGTGTTGTCGTCCACGACCACCACGTTTGTTGATGACGTCGTCGTAGGTATTGCCAAACAACTCCCTGAAAATTCCGGTATCGCTGGCGATGGCATCCTCTTTAACGATGAGTCCGGTGCTATGGGGGACATCATTGGCGCTGAACTTTCCCCAGCCATGTTGGAATTCCACGTCATCGCGGAGATGGAATGTCCACTGCGTCCCGTCCTCGTTGGCTTCCCAGGAAGTGGCAAGCCCCGGAACCAAAGAACCATCGAAGCGGTCGGTATGGATCAGGGGGTCAGAGAACGGCCGCACCTGCATATTGGCGGCAGTGGTCGTTCCCAGCCAGCTACCAACAAATTGCTGCACCGGGGGAACCGACGCGATGCGGAGCCTACCGCCCAATTCGGAAATCGCCTGGGCCGCACTGGGAGTGTTGGTCGGTTGCGGCGTTGCGGTGGCCACTATGGTTACAGCGGGTGTGGCCGGTAGGGGAGACGGTCTGACTGGCGCAGCCGTGGCTGCGTCGCTCACTTGTGGTTGGGTGGCCTCTCCTGTGGCAGGCTGGTCAACCGCGCCGCCACATCCCACGATGGTCACGGTTGCCATAGTCAAGGCGGCGGCGATCAAAACCGCGATTTTTGACATTTTCATCCCTCCCATTCGCAAAGCAGACGAAATCTGGATCAAATGCGCCAACTGGCATTAACCGATTACCGTTAAATATACTGGCAATTATAGAGTAAAAGTACCAATTAAGCGCATGTGGCCAACGTTATACCTATTCGTTAACGCGATAATGAGCAGGTTTTGTATTACATTTGAAAATGACTCATTCGAGAGTGCGTATCTATGCGTATCTATAGGTTACCGCGACATGACGAGAACAAATCGCAAGCGGCCCGCTGATAGCGGGCCGCTTGCGAAAGGTCGCCGGTTCAGATTGGCGGAATGCTGG